CACCATCCCCTAACTTCCTGTATTTGTTATATTATGTTCATATAAAGGTTTGATTTTGTTGTAAATGAATTGTAAGCTTATTGTGAAAAAAATCCAGCAGTACAAACTTGTCTTAAGTAGAAGAAAAAGTCTCTGTCCCATTGTCCACATAACACATGTCATATCAAATGTCATGTTATTTTTTATACAAATAAAATCATACCATGTATACTGCTTATAATTTTTATTTCAATTGACACTTCTTGTCTCAATTCATGGAAAAACCTCTTCACTTCTTTGCCCTTCACACCTTTGCCCTTCTTCAGACTATTCTCAAAGTGGCCAAATTAACCAAATAAAAAGCAATTTTACTTTATTCTTTTTAATGGCTGCATAGTATTCTGCTGAATGAATTAATACCATAATTTATTTAAACAATCCTCTATAAGTGAAGGACATTTAGCAGTGAACATTCTTGTACGTATATATTTGTGCACTTGTAGATCTATTAGGAAAATTCCTAGAAAGAAATTTTATGAGTCAAAGAATGTGAATACTTAAAAATTTAATAGACATTTGCAAATTGACCTCTGAACAGATTATACTAATTTACACTCCCAGCCAATGGCATTCTAGAATTTCGTGAATGCTCATCATCACTTTATCAACTGGTTTAGCCTTTACCAATCTCATAAATCAGCACTCAAGTTTACCTTCTGTTGACTTAATTACAAATGAAATGAAACATCTATTTCTTTATCAATCATTTGTTGTTCTGCGGGCTCACTTTTTCATATTTTTTGCCCATTTCATGACTGGTCTTTTGGTGTTTTTTTGAATAAAGCTCTGTATTTTGATTGAATAGAGCTCTGTATATTGAGGAAACTAACCTGTCTTATGAGCTTCAACTATTTTCTACATTTTTCTTTTGTAAGTTTTTTTTTTACAGTGTCATTGATGGTTTAGAAAGCTTTAATTTCTAAGGAGTAAAATTCCATATTTTCCTCTTTGGTTTCTGATTTTCATGTCATACTTAGACCTTCTCCACTCCAAGATTATAAAAAATATTCACTGATGCTTTCAGCTAGTACCTTTAACCATTGTGGGTTTTTTTTTTTTTTTAAAGATTTTATTTATCTATTTGACAGAGACGGAGATAGCGACAGCAGGAACACAAGCAGGGGGAGTGGGAGAGGGAGAAGCAGGCTTCCCGCCGAGCAGGGAGCCCGATGCGGGGCTCGATCCCAGGACCCTG